TATCTATCCGGTGAAGAATACTCAGAGCACAGGGCCTGCCAGCAGGACTAGCAAGTCCGTCCCCGAAGAACTGCGGCCAGAACGCTCCTGGGAGTGAGAGTAGCAGAAGGGGCCATTCCCAAGGCTGTCATGGTTGGTAAAGTGGAGGGTCAAAGAGAAAGGGGAAGGCCCTGGACGAGTGGATTGACACAGTGGCTGCAACGCTGGGCTCCGGTATAGCAAGGACCATGGGGCTGGCACAGGCAGGGCCGTGTTTCCTTCTGTCGTCCACAGGGTCGCTATGAGTCGGAGCTGACTCGATGGCACCTAAGAACAACAGCTTCTCAGATCTGTCCTCCAAGAGGGTCCCAATGGCACCCACAGTGATCAGCAGACCTCACGCCCAGACCTCGCTTTCTAAATGCGTCCTCCGTTACTGCCTTAGTTAACCATCTTGTCCTGTTATAATAGGAGTATCACAAGGGGGTGCTTTCACAAACAGACGTTGGTTTTCTTGCGGTTCAGTTGGCTAGAAGTCCAAATTCGGGGTGCCAGCTGGAGGGGCAGGCTCTCTTCCTGTCGGCTCTGGGGACAGTCTTTTCTCTTCACAGCTTCGGTTTCTTGGTTCTCACCGTCTTCACGTGGCATGGCTTCTCCCTCCCCCCATCTCTGCTTGCGTCTGGGTGCCTGATCCACTCGGTTTATCTCTCAAGTCACATCTGACAGGAATACTGCCTCGTTAAGGTCATAGACAACCTTGTTCCCAAATGGGATTCTAACCATGGGAGCTCTGGTGGCATAGTACCTAAGGCATCTGACTGCTAACCAGAAGGCTGGTGGTTCAAACCCACCAGCCACTCCTTGGAAGGAAAGTTTCGCTATCTATGAGTTAGATCTGACTGATAGCAATAGGTACCAAGGCAGTAAATCTTTATGGAAGTAGACTGCCCAGTCTTCCTTCCACGGAGCGGCTGGTGGGTTTGAACCGCTAACTTTCCAGTTAACAGTCAGATACCTTAGGCACTACACCACCAGAGCTCTTAACCACAGGTATATGGGTTGGGATTTACAACATTTCTGGGGACACAATTCTATCCATAACTAGGCTCTTTTTCAAAAGATAGTATTGTGCTTTCACAGTTAGTCCAAGCGACCAGTAGACCATGGGACCTTCAGCCTATATGACCATGAGACCAGAAGAACTAGATGGTGCCCACCTACCACTGTCAACCACTCAGAAACAGATCAGAGCAGGAGATCCTGGATAGAGTGGGAGAACAACGTGGAACAAAACTCACAATCACTAAAAAAAAAAAAAAAAAAAGCCCAGGTCTGATAGAGCCTGGTGAGACCCCTGAGACCACGGCCCCTAGTTACCTTCAGGTCTGGAACTGAACTCACTCCTGTGGCTTCCAGCCACACAATAGACAGGCATCTGGGGTGAATATTTACATCAGGTAGACACACAACCTGGAGCGATCAATTGTGGGAAAACAGAAGGGCAGTGTTTGCACAGGGAGATAGCTCAGGGGGTCGGAGCCCATGGGAGGGAAGGACACAGGGAAGGGGTAATTACTGGAAGTGAGAAGAGAGTTGCTGCATTGTGGGGAATTGCAGTCAATGGTCACGAGACAAAAATGTGTATGAGCTGCTGTAGGGAGAATGAATTTGCTCTGTAAAGTTTCACCCAAATCACAATAAACATTACAACAAAAAAAGATAATATTGTGTTTTCAGTGAAAGCTTATACAGAACACTGGATTCCCATCTGGAAATTTCTACAGAAATTGTTCAGTGATGGTTACATTTTCCCTACGAGTCTCCATCCTCTCTCATTTCTTTCTGGTTGTACTGTCCCCCGAGCTCTGGTTTCCTGTCCCCTTACCTTATCTTTGCTGTACAGTCATAGTTGACCTTTTGGTCTCATATAGTTGGGGTGTTTTCTTTTTTCAGAGATTTTTATTTTATGTATTTATTCTAATGGAAGGAAGATGAGACAATCTCCTTCTGTAAAGATTTACAGCCTTGGAAACTCAATGGGGTTCGCTATCAGTCGGAATCAATTTGATGGCAATGGGTTTTTATTGTTTAGTTTTACAGTTTTGATCAACCCCTTCTAAAGCAAATGAAGGTGCCATGGTGGCCCAATGGTTTAGTGTTCGCCTGCTAACTGAAGGGTTGGCATTGGAATCCACCAGCTGCTCTGCGGAAGAAAGGTGTGGCAGTTGGCTTCTGTAAAGATGACAGCCTTGGAAACCCTATGTGGGCAGTCCTACTGTGTCACACAGGGTTACTATGAGTTGACATTGACTCAGCAGCAATGGGTTTTTTGGTTTAAAAGCAAATGATCAAAGTTAGCCTTGACCATTGTGGAACTAGTGGGTGGAATGTGACACTTGCTAGGATGCTCTGAGAAGATCCCATCTGTGGTCTTCCTGTCAAAAGTGGACAGCCTGAATCTAATCGTGAGGAAATATTCGACCAACCCCAAATGAGGGACATTCTACAAAACAAAAACGTCCATGTCTCCAATTACAAAGAACAACCAGGTACTGGTCCAGATTTCAAGGGGCCTAGGGAGACATACAGGAGCTGTGGGGGTGCGGTGCCTAAGGCATTGGACTGCCAGCCAGACGGTTGGCAGTTCAAACCCACCAGCCGCTCCGTGGAATGAAGACAGGGAGATCTATTTCTATATAGATTTACTGCCTCCAAAACCCAACGGGGGTCGCTATGAGTCAGAACTGACTTGATGGCAGTGAGTTTGTTTTTCTGGTTTTTGAGGGAGACATAGGGGCCCTTGAGTGGTGGGAAGTTAATGCACTGAGCTGCTCACCACAACCCTCAAGTTTTGAGTCCACTCAGAGTGAGAAAGGAAAGGCCTGGGGGTCCACTTCCACAAAATCGGCCACTGAGAACTCTGTGGAGCACTGTCCTACTCTGAACGGCTGGCGTCACTGTGAGCGGGAGTCGGAACCAAGGCAACTGGTGCGGGTGGTGACTGGGAGCCATGACAACTGAATGCAACGCTCACAGGAGCCCAGGGTAACTTTTGCTACAGAGGAACTGGAAAGGTGGACAACGTGTCAACGAAGTCTACAGATTACATCTTAATACTGCTTCTAGGTCCTTCCTGCTTTTGATAATTGTGCTGTGGAATTCACTGTTTTCTCCTAAGAGAAGGAGAATAACACATACCCCATGACATTGTTTGCAGCATTAAATGAGCTCATTCGCAGATAGAAGCGAGCACTAAATAGTCATTAAGAATAGCAAAGAATATAATTGGGAAGTCAGCTATAGGGAAGAGACTGAGAGGTTAACAAAAAATCCATCCCCACCCTCAGAAGTACCAGCTCAAACTCAGAAAGACAGAGGCACCCGGCTGTAGTAACCGATTGGCAAGCTCACAGATGGAATCCAAAGGGCAGGAAACCAGGGAGACGAGATTAGAGCAGTTCCCCGGACACTAAGCTGAAGTTACAGCTCCTACACAAAATGGCGGCTGTCCTTGTTCCAGCACCAGAGATGAGTGTATCTTTCTGCGGACAAGTTAAAAAAAAAAAAAAAAAGAGGGAAATCTTAATAATATCAAATATCAGTCCCAAAACTGAAATGGACCAGTTCATTAAGCTGCTACTCCATGCTAGGTTGGAGCTCTAGTGGCATAGTGGGTTAGTCATTTGACTGCTAACCAGACGGTCAGTGGTTCAAATCCATGAACTGATCCATGGGAGATGATGAGGCAATCTACTTCCTCACAGATTTACAGCGTTGAAAACCCAATGGGGTCGCTATGAGTTGGAATCTACTCCATGGTAGGTTTTTATTTTTTATTTTTTTGCATATGCAAGGTTAAAAAGCTCTGGTGGGTGGAGGTTAAAGCATTCGGCTATGAACTAAAGGTCGGTGGGTGGGTGGCACCCATGAGCCCTCTGTGTGTGAGCAAGATGAGGCATGTGCCTCTGTAAAGACTGACAAGACTTGGAAGCCTGTGGGGCGCTTCCACTCCGTCCTCTAGGGTCCCTGCGAGTCAGCGTCTACTGGTGGCAGTGAGCTTGGTTGTGGTGGCGCCAACGGCTTGCCATCCCCTGCTAACCAAAAGGTTGGTGGTTGGAACCCACTCGGTGGTGGTGTGGAAGAAAAGGCCCAGCACCGGGTTTGGGTTTCCTGGTCTAGATCCTGTTAAAGATGGAAGGACGCGCGGCATACCCAGGTCGGCTACAGATGGTGTCCCAGGTGGGCTACCAAGGGGCGAAGTCAGGTTTAAACCTCGCTTATGACAAGCTCCGGTGGTTGCAACGCTGCTGAGGGTGCCCGGCTGCTTCCGAGGCAGAAAAATGCACTTAAGCACATGATCGAGAGACGTTCTGCCGAAAGGTGGACATTTAAGGATGCTTATGTTTTTTCCCCCTCTCACTTTGTGTGTGTACACATTCACACTTCACACGTCCCTGGTTTGGTGGGAGAAAACTGCATGCCGGCCTGGTCCCCCCAGCCGGAAGTAACAAAACCGTTCCCCAGGGGCTCCTGTAGGCTGGGGTCTGTGGCAGCTTCGCAAAGTTGCGAAATGTTGCGGGCTGCGCGGCCACTCCGGTAGTTACAGGGGAACGTTGGCGCCGTTAAGCTCGAGCCATCACGCCACACTCTGGGGAGACAAAATGGCGCCGTGGCCCTGGCCGAAGCCACATACGGGTTCTGCGGCCCGTTGGAACTACAACTCCCTGAATGCTCTGGGCCGAAGGAGGCCGGCCGATGTGGCGCTAGGCCCTGTGTCCCCACCCCCTACCCCACGGAAGGCCTCCGGAATACATTGCCCGTTCAGCACGCACGAGGACCTTCTTCGCATTGGCCGACGGGACTCGCAGTTCTTCGGCCTCAAGACTGATCCTCCCTGGGGCCTTAAGAAACTACACTTCCCGATGGCATTTGAGCGCCTGCGCACAAGGCCACGGGGCGTACTACGGTTCCCGACAGGCCTTGCGACGCGCGCGGCTGCGTGGTGACGCGCTGAGCGTGTCGTGCTGACGTGCAGCGCGGCCCAGGCGGGGTGCGAGTGGCGCAGTCGGAGCCCGCTGCGGCCCCTGAGGAAGCGAGGAGGCGTCGGCATCGGCCGAGGCGGGCAGACCAGCGAGGCAAGGCGTCGGCGGCGTCGGCTCCAGGCCCCGAGGGACTCGGGAGCCCGAGCAGTGGCAGCGGAGGAACCGCTCCCCCTCGGAGAAGGCGGGCGGCGGCGGCGGCGGAGGCGGCGGGTGAGAGGGCGAGGGAGCGCGCGAGCCGGGTGGGGGAGGGGCGGCCGCGGCGCAAGGCCAAAGCGCGCGGAGAACGGCCCCGGCCGACGCACGCACGCGCGCTCGCCGCTTCCAGTAGCTCGCGCGGATGCCCTCGCCTGCCTGCCTCCCCTCCCCCTTCCCCGCAGCTCCGAACGCTCACGGGCTTCGACTCCCCACCCCTTCCCCGTGGCAACGGCGCGCGCCGCCGAGCGATCTCTAACTCGCGCGCCCTGGTCGTCTGGGGAGCGCGCGCTCCGCGGCTCCTCGCTGCCCCGCGCGCGTGCGGCCGGGGAGGCCCGGTCGGCGTTTTTTGCGGTTATGGGTGGAGAGCGGAGGACCTGAGCGCGGCTGCTCGTCTCCCGGCCCGGACTCCTTTTCCCCGCGCCTTTCTCGGGCGGTGAGCATCGTCGACCGCTCTCGGGGCCCGCGGTTCGGCGCCCGCGTTCGCTCCGCCTCGGCCAGACCGCAGGGCGCCGCGCCGCCCCCTCCCCCACCTCCGCGGCGCCGCGGGCGCGCGAGGGCCTGCGGCCCGGGCCTCGACGAGCTCCCCGTTTGGCTCGACCCTGCCGGCTTGGAAGTGCTGAGCGGGGCCTTCAGAGAGCCCGAGCGTCCGGCCAAGATTGGGAGGGTGGGCCACGTGCCCCACGTTTGTCTGCTTCGCCATCCCACCCTCCAAAGTCCCGTTCAATCCTGGGAGGCCTGGGGGGGGGGGCGTTTCGTTGAGTGGAAAACGCTCTGGGCCCTCAAGACGTCTGGCGTTCTGCTTCCCGAGTTTTCCGAGCCCCGGTTTTCACTCACGCATCTCTAAGATGTCTTGTGGATCGAACCGTTTGAAAGACTGCTTTGGTTTTCTTTCTCATTGTGTGGACTTGGGGTCCTCAGCTGTGACGTTTCCCGGAGTACTCCCCTTTTTGGTGCCGTCACTTTTCTCCGTGTTGCATTTTAGCGTGCACCTCTGTTTGCTCTCTTACTTGGCACCCTAGTTTCCCACCGAGAAATTCCCTTTTGTCGTCTTAGGCAGCTTGCGTTTTCTTTGGGTGCCTTCAGCGCCAACGCTTTTTGCGCCCCCCGAGCCCGTGGCCCCAGTCTAAATCCCCGGTGTATTGGGTGGCTCGTGTGTGCGTGTGGCTGCTGTTCCCCCTGGGCCACCCCTCTCCGTGTTTTCTGCACCGCCTTGGGTGCCGTGGTTGGGGTGGTTCTTCTTGCCCCTGAAAGGTCTCGGATTCGTTGGGACTTAATCCCTGCGGTGCGCAGCTGCGAGTTTCCCTGGCCTGGAGCGGGAGTCGTGGGTGAGGCGGAGTGAATGGTTCCGGTGCGGGACTGCGGCCCGAAGCCTCTCTGAAGGCGGGGGTCGCGCCCCGGGTGGGGAGGACTGAGTCGGTGAGAGCAGCGCTGGCAGGGGCAGGAGCAGCTGGTTGATTTTGTTGTAAGGGAACCTGTTTTTTGGTTTGCCCTTTTTGTGCGTTTGTTTGCAGCTGTGTCTGGTTTGACTTCACCTGTCTCCTTTCCGCGGGCAGAGGCAGAGTTCCTTTCTTTTTTATTTATTTTTTTGGTTTTGCTGCTTGGTTAGGGTAGAGATCCAGCCTTAGAGATTTTAGGGGGAGTGTTCCGGAATTGGGTGCATTACCCTTCCCTTCAACAACTCCCCGTACGTTAGTTTTCTCCCTTTTGCTTTTTCAGCACGTTCTGTCGGCTGTTTGTATGCTGTTCTTTTATTTTGTAGTTTTAGGGCGCGAGTTTCCTTTTCTCCTTTTTCTGTCTCCTTCGACCCGCTTGGCCTGTGCGGTTCCTCGGTTCTTCTGGGCTGGTCTTGCCTGCACGTTGGTGCTCTGGAAGGCGATGTGGAGAGGACGGGGAGGGAGAAATGAGTGTTGACATAGCAGGAGGCAGGGGCAGAGTGTGTGTAGCCAAGAAATTAAACTCTGAAAATGGGGCCTTCAGAGTTAGAGGGGTGTGGCAGGTTGAGAGGACAGCACCTCAGCTTCGGGGACAGTGGGGGCAGGAGAGGCAGGACTAGTGAGTGAGAAACCAGAGAGCAGTTATTGGGGGCTCCTTAGGGACAGCCAAGGACAGCTGACCCGGGACGAAGGGGGAGGTCTAGTGAGCGAGGGCTGGTGAGTGCAAGGCGAGGAGTGGTGAGAAGGTGAGAAGACCTGGCAGAGGGGCTGCTTGAATTGGGAACCGGGAGTATTTAGTGGAAACTGGGGAGACCGGCAGTTCAGGTGGGAAGGCTTGATGGGGAGGAAGGGAAAGGACTCAGTTATCAGTTAGGACAGTTGATGGGAGCTGTAAACGTTTAGAAGCGAGGAAACGGTCCCTTACCTGGAAGTGAAGGATTACTCATCCCGGCTTTTTGGAGTGGTTTTCGATGTGCACGCTGGCCTCAAGTCTGAGTGTAGGGCTGTGTGAGACACTTGGTTTAGCCTAACCAGTCAGTCCACCTGCTTGGATGTTTAGGGCCTCTTGAGTCTATTTCGTATTCACTGTGCTCTGGAAGCCCTGGGTCATTTCTCAGAAGAGTCTTGGGACTTGGACTCCAGGCCCTTGGGTGCCACTGATCTGTGTCTGGTGCTGGCCATGCCCTTTTTAGGGGGCCTCAGTTCCCAGAGCTTAGAAAGACGCCCCTTGTGTGTATTGAAGCCAAAGGAGAGGCGATAGGGATAGTGAAGAGATTTCGCCTTGTGGAAACGGAGGAAAGCTGGGTGTAAGCAGGAGTGACTCAGAAGGCCATGCAGGAGTGCTGGGGTGAGGCGGGGAGAGCAGGCAGCATGGGAAGGACGAGGAGAGGAGCCGGGAGGACGCCGGCGGAGTGCGCAGCTAAGGGAGGCTTAGTGGGGAGAGCAGTGTGAAGGCCAGCAGACTTGGGTGGTGCTCAGTGGTTAGTTTGGGGCCAGGGCCTGACCCGTGTCTCCCCGCTCCCCCCCAGGAGCGGTGGTGCCCCCCGGGCACGGGGCCATGTACAACGGGATCGGGCTGCCGACGCCCCGGGGCAGCGGCACCAACGGCTACGTCCAGCGCAACCTGTCCCTGGTGCGGGGCCGCCGGGGTGAGCGGCCTGACTACAAGGGAGAGGAGGAACTGCGGCGCCTGGAGGCTGCCCTGGTGAAGCGGCCTAATCCTGACATCCTGGACCACGAGCGCAAGCGGCGCGTCGAGCTGCGATGCCTCGAGCTGGAGGAGATGATGGAAGAGCAGGGGTGAGGGAGGGCCGGGGGAGAGCCGAGCTGGAGGGAGTTAGGCGGAGGGTAGGGAGCTTAGGGCTGCTTGAAGGAAGCCTGGTGAAGAGCTGCAGAGGGGAGGAGGCCAGCGGGCTAGAGACAAGGAGGGAGTTAAGGGACAGTTCGGAGTGGGAGATGAGAAAATTGGGGCACGATGGGACCGTGAGGGACTCTTGCAATCATTGAGCTGGCGGCCAGTGGGGAAAGGGGGCATTAAAGGAACAAAAATGTGCTTTGAGGGAGCGGTAGGCAAGCAGAGACCAGGTGAAGTGCTAGGCAAGCTGACAGGCATTGTCTGTGTTGGAGAAGAGGAAGGGAAATGGATTTAGGGACGAGGCGAAGCCTTGGAAGGCAGCAGAGGCAGTACCTGGAGGAAGGCCCTTGGAGGAGCTTGTGGGCTGGGCAGGGAAATGCAGTTTTGGAAAAGGAGCACGTCCAGGCAGAACCCCTTTAGAGCAGTGGTTTTCAAACTTAAGCAGTGGCGCCCCTTTACGTAAGGCCCCTCACTGTGGATAAGACTTGTTCTGGTTGAAGTTGGGGAGGAGCACGTGGAACTCCGCCCGCCCAGCTTTCTTCTCGTGGCCTCTGAGGTGTGCTTCCGCGCACACATACACTGCCGGCCAGTCAGACCTGACTCAGCGAGCCCTGAGCCCTTCTTGGGTTTCCGAGGTGGTTTCACTGTGGAAGTAGATGCCCAGCCTTCCTTCTGGGGAGTGGCTGGTGGGTTTGAACCGCCAGCCTTTTGGTTAGCAGTCAGATGCCTTAGGCACTACGCTACCAGAGCTCCCTGAGGTGTAGCATGTTTAAAATCCACTGTTCTAGGGGGTATAGCAAGAGGGAAGGAAGCTGTTGGGGGAAGAGCAGAAGGACTTACGAGAAGGGCCTCTGGGTGATAATAAGAATTCTCTGTGTGCGTGGAGAGGGAAGGACGCTGTTGAGAGTGAGAAGTACTGATTTGGGGATGGGGCCAGTCCAGTCTCGCCCTAATTCGGAAGGGGTTTATTCTTTAGGTACGAGGAACAGCAAATTCAGGAAAAAGTGGCGACCTTTCGACTCATGTTGCTGGAGAAGGATGTGAACCCTGGGGGCAAGGAGGAGGCCCCAGGGCAGAGGCCTGCGTGAGTGTTGTGTCCTTTCTGATTCCCTCTGGCCTCTGCTGCTGCTTCTGCTGTCCCCTTCTCTTCCCTGGGACCTCCTCCCTGCCTCTGTCATTCCATTTCCCAGACCCATTTGGCTCTTGCTGTACTTTGAATCTGCATCTGCCTTGTGGCTCTGCCCTGTGTCTCCAGCTCCTTTAGACCTTTGTCTTCCCCTCCAGTGTAACGGAGACTCACCAGTTGGCTGAATTGAACGAGAAGAAGAATGAGCGGCTGCGTGCTGCCTTTGGCATCAGTGATTCCTACGTGGATGGCAGCTCTTTTGATCCTCAGCGTCGTGCTCGAGAGGCTAAACAGCCAGCCCCAGAGCCCCCCAAGCCTTACAGGTAGGCCAGGCTGGGCCAGGTGTTTACTCACTGTCAGCAGCTCTCCTGATTCTAAGCACCCTGCTCGATGTGTCCGTGGCCTGTTTCTCCCCACAGTACTACATGTTGTACCAGTTTGTTCTAAAGTTGTCATGTGTCTAGTTTGATGTTCGAACTCATGTCAGCTTGCCCTTGTCCTTTCACAGCCTTGTCCGAGAGTCTAGCAGTTCTCGCTCACCAACCCCAAAGCAAAAGAAGAAGAAAAAGAAGAAAGACAGAGGACGGTAGGTCCACTGGGCAGTTACTGGTGGTCGGGACAGCTCCTGTGGTGCACAGAGGAGTTGGGAAGTCTTGCTTCCTGAGAGCAGGAGACATGGAGACATTGAGCTGCCCAGTGAGGGAGGATGTTACTGGTTAGGTCTGTCTTGTGAGCACAAAAGAGTGTGTGTGCGTGCGCGCGTTGCAGTTGGGGAGCATTCGAGTTGTCAGCTGTGCTGATTATGAACCAGCTGGCAGCATTCTGTGTATCTGGGTTTTTTTCCTTTCCCATCTTGAGGTTTATTGGTTTGAGGTGTCTACTCAGAGAGTAGCGAGGTCCTTCCTGGGCTTCGGACAGGGGCGTTGGTGGGGGTATAGCGACTGGGCCAGGCTGCAGGAAACATGCACAATGACCTTGGTTCTGCACCTGTCTTTAGCAGGTCAGAGAGCAGCTCTCCCCGAAGGGAGAGGAAGAAGAGCTCGAAAAAGAAGAAGCACAGGTAGGAGGCTGGGAGGGGGACGTGCTTGGAGCTACGAGGAAGGCTTGATGAGTTGGGCCTGGGCCTTGATTGACGTTTCTCCTTCTCTCCTCCCTCCTCTCCCAAAATAGGTCAGAATCGGAGTCCAAGAAGCGGAAGCACAGGTGAGGGTTGTTTGGCTCCTTGTGGACACAGTGGCATGTGGGGGGGCATTGCTTGATGGCCTGCTCTTTCTTCACTTGGTTCCTGGGACATTTCCTGTTCTTAGAGTTAAAGCTCTAGGAATGGTCTGTGTCCAGCCCAAGTCCTTGCTGTCCCCAATTCCATTTCATTTTTATTTTGTTCTTCTGTTTTTCCTAACATCTTGTTTTATCTCCTAGGTCCCCCACGCCAAAGAGCAAGCGTAAATCCAAGGACAAGAAGCGGAAGCGGTGAGTGAATTCCCGTGGATTTGAGAGCAGTGTACTTGGCGGGTTGATGAGTTCCACTGGCAGGGAGGGGAAACTCAGTTATGGCCTGCCTGGTAGAGGGCTCAAGAATGGGTGAGGGTCACCCAGTCGTAGTATGACAGCACCCTAAGCTGTAGTGGGTCTCATTGCAGGTCTCGAAGTACAACACCAGCCCCGAAGAGCCGCCGGGCTCACCGATCAACGTCTGCTGACTCTGCTTCGTCCTCCGATACGTCCCGCAGTCGGTAAGGGGGGGTCCAGGAGGGAGGGCGGGAGAGGGATTTTGGTGGGTTAATCACTTGAATATTTACTGAGCGCCCACGGTGTGCTAGGCGCTGCACAGACCATTCGGAAGACACGGTCCCTGCCCTCTAGGAGCTGACAGGCTAAAGCAACAGGATGGACAGACATATACATTTCCCCTTCTCTTTTTGTTTATTTTTTTATTTATTTTGTTATTTTTTGTTTTGTTCTGATGTATATGGACTGCCAGAATAGGGGGGGTTGTGGTTTGTTCGTGGTGTCTGGGGGAGGAAGGAATCCTTACCCTGGCTTCCTTAATCGGGGAAGGCTTCCTGAAGGAGGTGGGCTCAGAGGTGAGTTGTGAATGAGGCGGGTAAGGAATGGGCTGGTTGGAGGGTCTGGGGAGGTTTTGGGGGAGGAGAATAAAGGGGTAAAGGGAGAATATTCTTTGGGATTGCATTGGGAAGAGGAGAAGGACCAAAGTGGACTGGACTGGAATTTCAGTATGAACGATTGGAGTCTTGTGACTTAAGGCAGCTTTGGAAGAGGGTTGTGCAGTCAGTGGAAGTGGACGGGAGCTGGGGAGGGGGTGTCCTAGTCTTCCTGGAGCTGATTTCCTCCTCCCCTGCCCCTCCTCCGTTACCTCCCTCAGGTCTAGAAGTGCTGCAGCTAAAACTCGTACAACTGGCGTGACTGGACGAAGCCCTTCCCCTGAATCAGGGCGCCAAGGGGAGGGAGATGGACCTTCCCGGGACTCGGGTGCTACCAACATAGGGCAGCCTAGCAGCCCAGAGCCCTCTACAAAGCAGCCGAGCAGCCCACATGACGACAGAGATAAAGACAAAAAGGAGGTACGTTCTGAGTTCCGGGTGTTCTTCACCTTGCAGAGGAATAGGCTCGGGACGGGAGTATGAAGCAGAGGGGGAGGGGTCCTGAGGAGTGAATTCATTTGTGTTGCCTTTTTGTTTGCTCGTTCGTTTTTGCATTTCTCGGTTTATTTAAATCCACATCTACTGCAAATAATTTCAGAATTTTCGCAATTGAGGTTAATTACGTAAACAGGTCTTCACTATATTGTGTACTCGCAGACGCAGAACAAAAGTTTAACTCATGCTGATTGTGGCTCCATCATTAGGCTGCTGCCTGTGCAGTCTGAAAACACAGTTCTGGAACGGGCTTGTCAGATTCTGGTCTTTAGTACTCTGCTCTAATACAAGCCCTTATTGTTCTTGCTTCACTTACGATAGTTCTCTGCTAAATTTTTACCTCTTGCATTCATTTTCTATTATTATGCAGAGTTTCTTTTTAGACTTCAGGTTAGGTCACCTCAGAAGCTTTACTTCCCATTGTTTTTTAATTACGTCGAAAGCTTTTATGATTTGGTTTCTTACCTCTTCTGTGCTCCAGTTCTCCTGATCTATCTTGTTACCGTTTAAACAAAACAAACTATTGCTTTTGTTGGTGTAGTTTCTTTAATTTGTTTTATCTACAAGGGTAAAGTCAGATATCACCCACTTTGGTAAACTGTGCTTATGTGTCGTCTTAAAAATAATAATTTTTTCTTTCCTGTTAGTATACAGCATTTTATAACGACGTCTGTCGTATGTGCATTAGCTGTTTACGTTTTGTCTACATTGTAAGATCTTTGGGGTAACAGTTGTATCTTCATCTTTTCTCTTCTGTGTGATTTCTTGTTATTGTTTGACTGGCATGTCTGTGGTGAAAAAAGGGACCAGTTGGGGCATTGGGTTGCATAGAAGAAAAATTTCATTGGATGTTGGGGTGCTAGAAGTGATAAGATTTGGTTCTTACATGTCCCTATCCCTACTTTCTTTTCCACTCTTAGAAATCTGCATCTCGACCTAGCCCCTCCCCGGAGAGGAGCAGTACAGGCCCAGAACCACCTGCTCCCACTCCGCTCCTTGCTGAGCAACATGGCAGCTCCCCACTACCCCTTGCAGCAACCCCCTTAAGTCAGGAACCAGTGAACCCCCCATCTGAGACCTCTCCAACCCGGGGGCGTTCACCACCTAAGTCTCCTGAGAAGCCTTCTCAGTCTTCTTCCTCAGAGAGCTGTCCACCGTCCCCTCAGCCTACCAAAGTTGCTCGGCATGCCAGCTCTTCCCCTGAGAGCCCTAAACCTGCACCAGCTCCTGGGTCCCGCCGAGAGATTTCTTCTTCTCCCACACCTAAGAGTCGCTCCCATGGCCGAGCAAAGCGGGATAAATCACATTCCCCTACCCCTTCCCGTAGGATGGGGAGGTCCCGGAGCCCTGTTGTCACAAAGAGGGGGCGATCCCGGTCTCGGAGCCCTACCAAGAGAGGTCATTCTCGGTCCCGGTCCCCTCAGTGGCGTAGATCTCGGTCTGTGCAGAGGTGGGGACGATCTAGAAGTCCCCAGCGACGTGGCCGCTCTAGGTCTCCTCAACGACCAGGCTGGTCCAGGAGCAGGAACACCCAGAGGAGAGGCAGGTCTAGGTCAGCAAGACGAGGTAGATCGCACTCTCGATCTCCAGCCACGAGGGGCCGGTCTCGCTCTAGAACACCTGCCCGGAGGGGTAGGTCCCGGTCCAGAACACCCGCCAGGCGGAGATCTCGATCCAGAACATCTACCAGACGGAGGTCCCGTTCTAGAACGCCAGCCCGGCGGGGCAGGTCTCATTCTAGAACACCTGCTAGGCGGAGATCTAGGACCCGATCGCCAGTACGGCGCAGGTCTCGTAGTAGGTCACTGACCAGGAGAGGTGGCAGGTCACGGTCCAGAACCCCAGTTAGACGTGGCAGGTCACGCTCTAGAACCCCAGCCAGACGGAGTGGCAGGTCACGTTCTAGGTCCCCAGCCAGGCGAGGGAGATCTCGGTCTAGGACACCAGCAAGACGAGGGAGGTCCCGTAGTAGAAGTCCTGCTAGACGGGGTCGGTCTCACTCTAGAACACCACAAAGACGAGGCAGGTCTGGCTCATCAGAGCGGAAGAACAAGTCCAGGACATCTCAGAGAAGAAGCAGGTCCAACTCAAGCCCAGATGTGAAAAAATCTCGCATTTCTTCGCGGCGTAGCCGGTCTCTTTCTTCACCAAGATCCAAAGCAAAATCTCGCTTGTCTCTGAGGCGAAGCCTTTCAGGGTCCTCTCCGTGTCCTAAACAGAAGTCTCAGACGCCACCTAGACGTAGTCGCTCGGGATCATCTCGACCTAAAGCAAAATCTAGAACGCCATCAAGACGAAGTCGTTCAGGCTCTTCACCGCCTAAACAGAAATCTAAAACCCCACCAAGGCAAAGTTGTTCCAGCTCATCTCCTCCCCCTAAAGTCAAATCTGGAACACCACTAAGGCAAGGATCTACAGGCAGTCCTCAGTCAAAAGAACACTCAGAAACACCACGAAGGCGGAGCCGATCTGGATCATCACCAGACCCTGAGGGGAGGTCTTGCACATCTCCAAGACATAGCCCATCTGGGTCATTTTCTCCACAATCCAAAGTGAAGGCAATTACTTCACCAAGACGAAGCCATTCTGGCTCTTCTTCTCCAAGTCCCAGTAGGGTGATTTCTAGGACACTGCCAAGGCAGAGCAGATCAGAGTCTCCCTGCTCCAAGGTGGAATCGAGACTGTTGCCAAGGCAGAGCCATTCTAGGTCGTCCTCGCCAGATACCAAAGTGAAACCTGGAACACCACCAAGACGAAGTCACTCAGGGTCTACTTCGCCGTGCCCCAAAATAAAGCCCCAAACTCCACCAGCACAGTGTCTTTCTGGATCGAAGTCACCACATTCTCAAGAGAATGCTAAAGATTCACCAGCACAAAGTAACTCTGGCTCCTCCTCTGTGTGTTCAGGAGTAAAATCTAGCACACTACCAGGAGAAAGCTGCTCAGGTTTCTCATCCCTGCAACAGAAAGGACAATCTCAAACCTCCCCAGACCATACATCTGACACTTCAACTCCAGAAACAAGACAGGGTCGCTCCGAGTCGCCATCTTTGCAGAGCAAATTTCAGATACCACCTGAGGGTGGTCGGTCTAGGTCTTCATCTCCAGTCACTGATCTGGCCACTAGATCGCCACCAAGACAAAACAGAAGTGGGCCGTCCACGAGTCCTAGGCTCAGATCTCCTGAGCAGAGGTCTCAGACTGACTCCTCCCCACATCTTGGGACAGACATTAAAGCTCTTCTGAGGCAAAGTAGATCGGAATCTCCTCCAGAATCAAAAGAGAAAGGGAGCCTACTCTCTCAGGAGTCTGTGCCTGCATCATCTCCCAGACCAAGAGATGGACTTACGCCCCCCCCCGTGCAGGACGGGCCCGAGTCCTCACCACTTCTCAGAGACGCTCTCAGAACCCCTCCAGGGGAGAGAAGTGGCTCTGGGCCATCTCCAGATGCAAAAAGCCGGAGCAGCGCATCGGCTCAGCCCACCCAAGAAGAGGAATCAGTGGAGGCAGTGGAGAAATCTGAAGAGCTCTCAAACCAGATCCTGTCCCACTTGTCTCCAGAACTTAAAGAGGTGGCTGGAAGGAACTTTGAATCATCTCCTGAAGTAGAAGAAAAGTCTGCTGTGTTTGTACCTCTTGACCAGAGCCAGTCGCGGGCTTCTTTGGGAACAGTAGAAGTTCCTGCGGCAGTCTCGGCTTGGAGTGGGCCACGTTACACTTTGGACCATAAAGAACTGCCTAACTCTCCTCCTAGGGAGAACAGCTTTGGGTCACCTTTAGAATTTAGAAACTCAGGCCCTGTTGTTTCAGAAATGAATATTGGATTGTCTCCTGAGGCTAAAGAGGATTTGAATGGGCCTTTCCTTAATCAGCTGGAGACAGACCCATCTCTAGACATGAGAGAACAATCTACAAGATCCTCCCGTCGCAGCAGTTCTGCGTTATCCCCAGATGCAATGGAAAAAGCAGGAATGTCTTCGAATCAGAGTGTCTCTTCACCTGTGCTTGATGCTATACCGAGAACACCTTCTAGGGAAAGAAGCAGTTCTGCGTCTTCTCCTGAACTGAAAGATGGATTGCCCAGGACACCATCGCGGAGAAGTAGGTCTGGGTCTTCTCCCAGACTTAGAGATGGGTCTGGGACACCTTCCAGGCATAGCCTGTCTGGTTCCTCTCCTGGAGTGAAAGATGTACCTAGAACGCCATCCAGGGGCAGAAGTGAATGTGATTCTTCTCCAGAACCAAAGGCTTTGCCTCAGACTCCTAGGCCGAGGAGCCATTCTCCATCATCTCCTGAGCTCCCCAACAAGTGTCTTACCCCCCAGAGGGAAAGAAGTGGGTCAGAATCATCAGTTGAACAAAAGACCATGTCTAGGACCCCACTTGGACAGAGAAGTCGATCTGGGTCTTCTCAAGAACTTGACGGGAAACCCAGTACATCCCCTAGGGAACAAAGTGATTCAGACTCTTCTCCGGATTCTAAAACCAAGGTCCGAACTCCACTTAGGCAGAGGGCCTGCTCTGGGTCATCTCCAGAGCTTGAGGGCAAGTCCCGGCCTTCTCCTCGGCGTAGCAGGTCTGGCTCATCCCCTGAAGTTCAAGAGAAGCCAAGAGTGGCACCCAGGGCACAGAGTGGTTCTGATTCTTCTCCTGAGCCTAAAGCTCCGGCCCTTCGGGCTCTTCCTCGACGGAGCAGATCAGGCTCCTCAAGCAAAGGCAGAGGCCCCTCTCCTGAAGGAAGCAGCAGCTCTGAGTCATCTCCAGAGCATCCTCCCAAATCCAGAGCTGCTCGAAGAAGCTGCAGGTCCTCTCCAGAGCCCAAGACCAAGTCTCGCACTCCACCTCGTCGTCGCAGCTCCCGGTCATCACCGGAATTGACTAGGAAGGCCAGACTGTCTCGGAGAAGCCGCTCTGCCTCCTCCTCACCTGAGACCCGTTCCAGAACTCCCCCAAGGCGCCGCAGAAGCCCCTCAGTGTCCTCCCCAGAGCCGGCTGAGAAGTCACGGTCATCACGCCGCCGGCGTTCTGCTTCTTCCCCACGCACCAAGACAGCATCCAGGAGAGGCCGCTCTCCTTCACCAAAGCCTCGTGGACTCCAGCGGTCCCGTTCCCGCTCTAGGAGGGAGAAGACCAGAACAGCCCGGAGGCGTGACAGATCTGGGTCTTCTCAGTCTACCTCTCGGAGGAGACAGCGGAGCCGGTCAAGGTCTCGGGTTCCTCGTCGACGGAGGGGTGGCTCTGGCTACCACTCCAGGTCACCTGCCCGACAGGAGAGTTCCCGAACCTCTTCCCGACGCCGAAGAGGCCGCTCGCGAACACCCCTAGCCAGTCGGAAGCGTTCCCGTTCTCGTACATCACCGGCCCCGTGGAAACGCTCCAGGTCTCCAGCCACTCACCGGCGATCCAGGTCCAGAACACCTCTGGTCAGCCGACGTCGCTCTCGGTCTCGTACCTCGCCAGTCAGTCGGAGGCGGTCACGGTCCAGGACGTCAGTGACTCGACGAAGATCTCGATCAAGAGCGACCCCGGTGAGTCGCAGGCGATCCAGGTCCAGGACACCACTAGTGACCCGCCGGCGGTCAAGGTCCAGGACGCCAGCAGCACGTCGACGCTCCCGTTCCAGAACTCCACCTGTGACCCGTAGGAGGTCCAGGTCCCGGACCCCACCAGTGACACGAAGGCGTTCCCGAAGCAGAACCTCGCCAGTCACTCGCAGAAGATCAAGATCCAGAACATCCCCAGTCACCCGGAGGAGATCTCGGTCTCGCACATCTCCAGTAACTCGAAGGCGGTCCCGCTCCCGGACCTCTCCAGTGACGCGCCGCCGCTCTAGGTCCCGAACACCCCCAGCCATTCGCCGCAGATCCAGGTCCCGAACGCCGCTGCTGCCACGCAAACGTTCACGGAGTCGCTCACCACTTGTTATCCGCCGCCGCTCTAGGTCTCGTACCCCGAGAGCAACTCGTGGGAAAAGGTCCTTGACAAGGTCTCCTCCAGCCATCCGCAGGCGTTCTGCGTCCGGAAGCAGTTCTGATCGTTCGCGATCTGCTACTCCTCCAGCAACGAGAAATCACTCTGGTTCGCGGACACCTCCTATGGCCTTGGGTAGCTCCAGAATGAGCTGCTTCAGTCGTCCCAGCATGTCACCGACTCCTCTTGACCGCTGCCGGTCCCCTGGAATGCTCGAGCCCCTGGGCAGCTCCAGAACACCAATGTCTGTCCTGCAGCAAGGGGGTGGTTCCCTGATGGACGGCCCAGGTCCCCGAATGCCTGATCACCCGAGAACATCATCTGTGCCAGAAAACCACGCCCAGTCCAGAATTGCGCTTGCTCTGACGGCTATCAGCCTGGGCACCGCTCGACCGCCTCCGTCCATGTCTGCTGCAGGCCTAGCTGCCAGGATGTCCCAGGTACCTGCTCCAGTACCTCTCATGAGTCTCAGAACGGCCCCTGCTGCCAGCCTCGCCAGCAGGATCCCTGCAGCCTCGGCAGCGGCCATGAACCTGGCCAGCGCCAGAACACCTGCCATCCCAACAGCCGTGAACCTGGCCGACTCGCGCACACCAGCTGCAGCTGCGGCCATGAGCCTGGCCAGCCCCAGAACAGCGGGGGCCCCTTCAGCTGTGAGCCTCACTGACCCACGTACCCCTGCAGCCTCAGCGGTGAATTTGGCAGGAGCCAGAACCCCAGCTGCTCTGGCAGCCCTGAGCCTTGCAGGCTCAGGCACGCCCCCAACAGCTGCAAGCTACCCCTCCAGCTCCAGGACGCCCCAAGCTCCAGCACCTGCAAACCTGGTGGGCCCCAGGTCTACTCACGCCACAGCACCGGGGACTATGGCCAGCTCCCGAAGCCCTGCGGCCCTGGCCCCAGCCAGCCTCACCAGTGCCAGGATGGCGCCAGCCCTGTCTGGGGCCAACCTTACCAGCCCCCGGGTGCCCCTCTCAGCCTATGAGCGAGCCAGCGGTCGAGTCTCGCCCCCACTCCTCGACCGAGCCAGGTCGCGAACACCACCAGGAGGTCCCGGCTGCAGAACCCCACCGTCGGCCCCGAGCCAGTCCCGCATGCCCTCGGAGCGGGCTCCCTCTCCGGCTGCTAGAATGGGCCAGCCTTCCTCACAGGCTGCCCTGATGCCGGCACAGGAGCGGCCCAGGTCCCCTGGGCCACCTGCCTTTTCAGACCAGTCCCGTTCTTTGCCCGCCCAGACCACCCCTGCAGTGGGGTCTCAGGCCCTCTCTGGGACTGGGGCAAAGACCGCGTCTGCTGCCAGTGACCACAACGGTGTGGCCTTGGGCCCTGCCCCTGGGGTGTTCCACCCTGAGGGTGGGGAACCGCTTGCCTGCGCTGGAGCGCAGCAGCCCCCGGCACTGGCCGCCCTGCAGCCCACCAAGGAGCGGAGGAGCTCGTCCTCATCCTCATCCTCGTCCAGCTCCTCCTCTTCCTCCTCCTCCTCCTCGTCCTCGTCTTCCTCTTCTGGCTCCAGTTCGAGTGACTCGGAGGGCTCCAGCCTTCCCGCGCAGCCGGAGGTGCCCCTGAAGAGGTGAGGGGACGGGACTCAAGGAAACCTGGTGGGGGAGGCAGCGTGGGTGGGCTGGGAGTGGGGTGGGCGGCACTCTTGTCAGTTTGCTGGCTCTCTTGAGGAGGAGGTACGGGGGACCTTGGCCCTTAAGCTGGGGACAGAAGAGAATGCTGGGGGCGGGCTGGGGGCGGGAGGGGACAGGTGGACATCTCGGAAGGGTCGTTCTCTAGAGGATAATGATGAGTTTTCCGTCTCTACAGAGGACAGAACTAGAGGAAATGGACTTAATTTTACAGCAGGAGGGATGGCAGTTAGAACTCAAGAGGAACTCCCTGGGCTGGAAGGATCTTCAGAGGTCATCCCGCCCCTCTCCCTGCCTCCAGGCAGGACGGCCCCGCCCCCAGCCAGCCTGCACTCGGGCCTCCCCAGGCTGTGGCTCTCCCGAGGAAGGAGACCCCAGCTTTCCACACCTGAGTCCAGGGCCTTACTCTTCCATCAGGGACATTCTTGAGGTTTAACCTTGCTCCTTGTGCTGCGGGCCCAGCCTGTCGCCATGTTAGCAGAGGTCGGGCGCTCGGGCTTCGCTCCGGAGCACTGCTGGCTCCCGGCGCCAGGCTCCCAGGGCCTCTCAGGCACCCCTCCCCCACTGCCGTTCCTCCAGGCCAAGGAAGGTAGGGTTGGGGTTGGGGCCGTCTGTCTCCTTGTGACAACCCTCTCCTCCCACAGGGTCCCCAGTCCTGTCCCCGGCCCAAAGGAGATTGTTCGAGAGGGCCGCCCGCAGGAGCCGACCCCAGCCAAGAGGAAGAGGCGCGACAGCAGCTCTAGTTCCAGCTCTTCATCCTCCTCCTCCTCTTCCTCTTCCTCCTCCTCCTCCTCCTCCTCTTCTTCCTCTTCTTCCTCCTCCTCCTCTTCCTCTTCCTCCTCTTCCTCCTCCCCCTCCCCTGCTAAGCCTGGCCCTCAGGCCTTGCCCAAACCTGCAAGCCCCAAGAAGGCACCCCCTGGCGAGAGAAGGTGAGTGGTCCTTGCCCAGTAGCGGGGGACGGGGTGAGTTAGCACTCAGAGGTGCCAGCCGCCGGCCGGGGGTCCGCGGGGACACTGCCATCCGGCTGTGGGAGGAGTCTAGCTCTCCTCCCCACGTGCTCTGCCGGCCCGACCTCCCTCCCCATTCCCAGTCCACCAGGCCCAGGGATTCTAGCTTTGGAATCTCCACGTTGCTGCCACCGAGGCTCTGGTCTGGCCACCGCCATCTCCTCCTGCTCGGTCCACATCCCTCTCTCCCTGTCTCTCTGCCCCACCCCGCCACGCCGCTCTCCCTCGTGTAGCCAGAGGGGGCTTTGTAACTTGCACACCACGCACTGCACACACCCTCCCGGGCCGCCCTGTGACCCGCAGGACAAAGCCCTGTCTCCGCGGGGATGGCACGGAGGCTCAGCGGCAGCCTTGCCAGTCCATCCCCCGCCTCTCCTCTGCCCACCCCCCATGCCCTACGGTCCGGGGGCCACCATGCTCTTGGGCCCATGTGCCTGTGGACGTGCTGCTCCTCAGCCTGGACCCCGTTGTCCGCCTGGTGGACTCCTCGGTCTGCAAGACTCCGTCTGCCCCGACAGCACCTTCGAGACGACCGTCCCGCCCCGTCCCAGCTCCCCTCCCTGGGTCCCCCAGACCCATGGCCGGGCCCTGTAGGGGTGCTCCCACCGCCCCGCCCCCTACCCTGGGTCCCCCAGACCCAGGGTCAGCCTGCCTGCAGGGGTTGCTCCCTGCACATGGGCGGGAACTGCTGCCCCCCTTGCCCTCCCTCCACCTGGTCCAGCTCCTCCCAGAGCAGGGCCTGCCTTTCTCTCTGCCTCCCCCGCTGCACCCCGTGCCCGCCGGGCGCTCGGTGGATGGTGTGCGGGCGGCTGGGTGAGCGAGCGCACACAGGTGGGTCTGAGGCTGCCCCAAGTGGTGCGAGGTTTGGTGGCCAGGACCGGGGAGGGCGGTCCTGCGCACTGTGCTGGCTGGTGGGTTTGGTGCTATTGGTACTTGCTCTGCTCCCAGGTCCCGCAGTCCCCGGAAGCCAATAGATTCTCTCCGGGACTCGCGGTCGCTCAGCTACTCACCTGCGGAGCGCCGCCGCCCCCCCTCGCCACAGCCTTCCCCCCGGGACCAGCAGAGGTAGGTGCTGGTGGATGGGTTCTCGTCTCTGGCCATGCCAGTGTTAGAAGTTCTCTTGGTGTAGCCACTGCATGTCAGCTGTGATCTGATCTTTGACACGTTGTGTTGCAGCAGCAGCAGTGAGCGGGGTTCCCGGAGAGGCCAGAGGGGGGACAGCCGCTCCCCGAGCCACAAGCACAGGCGGGAGACGCCCAGCCCCCGCCCCGTGCGCCGCCGTTCCTCCAGGTGGGTGTCCCCAAGGGTGAGGCCCATTCTGAGCAGAAAGTTGCCCTGTGGGCAGTAGTCTCCAGGTTGACTCCTTTGTTTTTTCTGTCACAGGTCTCCATGAATCTCGGGGAGTTCTACACCCCACAGTCTAGAGCTGCAGGGAGTGCCCCCCTCCCCACACACAGCTGTGGGAGGGGTCCTATATGCCCCCTGAACCTTGGCAGCGTCTTGTGGGGGGGGGCTTCCCGTTTTTTTCTGTTTTTTTTTTTTTTTCTTTGTTCCTGTGAAATGTTAATCTGTGAGTTTTTCCTGATTCTTGTGTTTGGGGGGGTTTGGGGTGGGAGAGATTGAGAATGGGGCCTGGGAGGGGAAGACAGGACCCCCTGCCTTTATCAGAGGGGCTGGGAGGCTCTGCTCTCTCTTCATCCCCAAGTTCCTGGGGTGTGGGGGTCTGGGACCTGGGCCTTAAGCAAGGGGGTCCTGGAAAGGGGACAAGAATTGAAATCAGTTGGTCCCTCCGACCCCCTATGAGGTTGTGGCCCCTCCCCCCAACTTTTCTTCACGTTTCTTAAAGGCATTTTGATTTTTTAAACTCTGTACAGCAAGAGCAACTTTTTCTGTCCAATAAAAATGAGAAATGCAGGACTGGATCTCTAGGCTGTTTATTGGGGCACGGGGTGGGTAGGGAGAGCCACCGTGAGACGCCATCAGTGAGGGACCAGGTGGTTCTCAGACCCGGTGCCCACGGCCCCACGGCCAGGAGCTGCTTGTCATTTGCCAGAACTGCCACTGGCTCCACAGCTGGGCTGGGGCCTCGCTCCCCCCAGGCCCTGCAGTGCTTCGAGGAGCAGGTTCTAGGGTGGGTGGCTGGGCCAGGCCTCAACCAGGGCCACAGGGGGCCTGGAGGAGCCTAAGGGGAGAGCGGTGGGTGGGTGGGTGTTAGAGAGGGAATGGGGTGAGAAACAGGCAAGACCCAAGCTGACAATCTTTTATTGGGGGCTGGGGGGTGGCCAGCCCTCACTGCACGGCTTGCTCGTTGGCACTGCTCCCAGAGTCCTGAGGCTTCATGACATCAGGTAGCTCGGGTGGGCTGGAGAAGGGTTCGATCCGGAGCGCCTCAAACGAGTCATCTGTTGGGGGAAAGCCACTTAGACTGGCAGCCCTCCCTTGGCCCACTGAAGAGCACCCTGTAGGGTGTTAAGTAGTGGGCAGGAGACTGCACCTCTCCGCCCTGGTCCTAGTGACTCTATGCAAGATGAGCCAGCTACCCACAGGCCAGGCCCACAGCTGGGCGGACACTTGTCAAGCTCCATGTAAGTTCTCAAGAGAGAACTCAACCTCCCTTCCCTTTTTTGGGGATGTCTACCACTCCCTCTCCCAGTCTTCCCAAGTCTCAAGTGTACAGGGAGCCTTGGTGAGGAGGGATGCTGCCAGGGAGCCTGCCTGGACTCCTCCTGGGCCTCGGATCCACGTCTGCAAAACGGTGACAGCAGGGCCGGCTCCTAGCTGCTGACAGGACAACGGGCTAACGCCAGGTCTCTATGGAAACCTGCCATGAATTTGAGCTGGGGGTCTTTAAATCTGCTGGGAAACAGGCCTCAATTTCTACGGGACCTCTGGTTTGCTGCTTGTTTTTTTTGGGGAAACGCCATGTGGCACAGGACAACCCCTGTGGTTTGGGGCTGGGAAGACCCTTTCTTGGGCTGCGCCTGCCCACACCCCCTCACCTGCCCGGAAGGCCAGCCCCACCGTGGCAGGGGCCTGGGGCCGTGCAGTCTGACTGGTGAAGCCACACTCGCCCAGCGTCTTGGTGTCCTCTAGGAGCTGGTCGTCCTGAGGGAAGAGGCAAGGGCTCAGAGAGGGGCCCAGGTGGGGCAAGTAGCCAACCGCGCCACGAAGTCAGGGACAGGAAAGGCGGTGACCCAAGTGTTTCCCAGGACCACTCAGAGCAGATGAATCAGGCCGACTCGGGGATGCCGTCCCAGACTTTACAAATTAGAATCGACTCTAATCAGGGGCCCTGGATTCGGTGTTTTTCCAGACTCTGCAGGTGACTAATTCCAAGAGCCCTTGACCGAGCCTGGGAACAGGCACCTGGGTTTGACTCTCAGCTCTGCCACTCATCATCCATGTGATCTTGGAGAAGGTGGTTGGCCTTCCTGATGCCAAAGCTCCTCACCGGTAAATCGAGGGTTACTGGAATTCCCACCTAACAAGGGACACGAGGCACTGAATAGGAACATGGACTGTGGGGCGGGCACCGAGGAAGGCCTTATTGCGGAGACCTCGGAAGCTGCGGCTCTCGGGGGCTGAGGGTGGAGTGTACAGAACTCGCCTCTTCCACTTCGCAGCCAGAGGCAGATCAGTGCTCTGAGATGAGGCTCGCCAATGAAACCTAAGCCTCTCTATTTATCCAAGGGTCTGCAAAGGGAAAGAGGGGCTTTTCCAACGCCGGCAGGAGTGGAGGGCGAAAGCAACGTTTCTTGGTGAACAGCTGGGGGAAACTGACTCAGCACCCTCCTTTGCCACTGTTTGGGGTTTTCCGTTTCAGGGATAACTAAGGCCCCCAGGAGTGCCCAGGGGGCGGGGCGCGATTCCGAGGGCCCGGCTGCCGAGGCTGCGAATTAAGAGCACCGGGGCTCAAAGCCCAACTCTGCCAACGACCTTGGGCTTAGTTAAGGGACCAGAGTTGGGCTGTCGAGCGCCCCCGCGACGTGGGTGGGACCGTTGCTCTGGGTAGATGCGCTGTTAGCCGGCACGCGGGGACAAGCATCCTTTACCGAGGCGTCACCGGGCGCTAGGCGCTTCCCACGCTCGGTGCCACTGAATCCGGGCAGAAGCTCCGCGAGCCCGGGGTTCGGACACGCGTCGGGGCGTCGCGCCGCTGTTTACATTACTGACAACCACCCGCGGCGCCGCGCGCCCACCCCGCCCCGGGCCTTCCGTTCCTCGGCCCGCCGGCCCGGCCCGCACCTTGTACAGCCGCTGCTCATCGGGCGGCCGCTTGAGGATGCCCTCGACGATGCGCTTCAGCTCAAACACGGTGCTCGATTCCTTGGCGTCGGTGAAGATGGTGGTCTTATGGCGCCGGATCATGAGGAACACGTCCTGGGGGCGGCAGGGCGGCGTGAGCGTGGCCCCTGGGGCTCCCCGCGCGACCTGCCGCCCCCCGCTACCCCCGCAGGCCCCCTGCCCGGACCGGCCCACCCCTCCCCCGCGCCCGCTCACCATCGCGGCGACTGCCTCTCCCCCTCGATGCGCCGGCGCGGGCGCGCTCCGCCCCGTTCCCAGCATCCCGCGCTGCTGCCCCGGCATGCCCCGCGTCCAGCGGCCCCGCCCCTCGGCCCCTCCCACCCGGCGCCGCGCGGCCCCGCGGCCGCCGCCATTTTAAGGTGGTCCGGAAGCGGCTCGCTATGTCTGGGCAACTGGCGGCCATCTCGGTGCCGGGACGCGGGGGCAGCGCCGATCGGCGGGGTGGCCTAGGTCGTGGCAGGGGAGGAGCGAGCGAGCGCGGGTGGGATGTGGTCGGGGGAGTGCCGTGCTTAGGGACCCTTTGCTTTTGGGTGTATCTGGGGCTAACTGCACACCCTAGAGGGATAGATGAAGGAAGGGTGGTTCGGACAGTCATCGGGGTTGGTAAGACGTTTGCATTGAAGTGTGCCGTGAGCTGTCAGCAAGGAGTCTGACTCATGGCTGCAGAGGCTGCCTTGGCCGCCATTTTGCGAACGTCTTTTGCTTTGGACCTTAGGGGCACCGCAATGGGAGAAAGTCGCTTTCCCCGGCACAGCTTTGGGTCTTCGTCCAGTCCAGTTCGTAGAGGTACCTACAAGGATCCTAGAAAGCTGCTGTTAGGGGCGACCTTACTGGGAAGAGGAAGTAGGGTACGGCCGGGGTTGGTGTTTGCGCCCCCAGAGGGAGGAATGGGGACGTTCCCCTGACCCCCTCTTTACTTAGCTAGGCCGGCGCTCAGAAATTTGCCCGGCTGTGCCCTTCCTCGGTGCACCCCTTCCAACAGCCGACCCATTCCCTCTTGGGCTTCGGACATTGTCTCGTCTCTCCCCAAACTGCAGTAACGTTGTTATGTGCTGCCCAGTCGTCTCCGACTCAGCGACCCTTCCTTAGGTTTCCGAGGCAGTATCGCTAGGGAAGTGGATTGCCCAACCTTCCTTCAAGGAGTGGCTGGTGGGTTTGAACCGCCATTATTTTGGTTAGCAGGCAAATGCCTTAGGCAGTATGCCACCAGAGCTCCCAAAAGAAGGTGCTTTTTAAACTGACAAACCACATCCATGGATTACAGTTTGTAAGGACCCACATTGGGTTTCCAAGGCAGTGGAAGCACATTGCCTCATCTTCCTCCCATGGGGTGGCTGGTGGGTTTGAACCACGGACCTCCTGGCTAGCAGCCGAATGCCTTACCCACAGCGCCACCAGAGCTGGGAAGGAGGGTTTTGTCTCGCTTAACCACTCCCGGGGAGAGGGTCAGCCCCAGCTGAGTCATGGTTGGGCGTGCCTCACAGAAGGCAGGCCTCTTGCACCCAGTGAGAGAGGAGGCAGCCAGTGGCCTTGGGAGCCAGACAACAGCTCTGCCAGGGTTGGGGCTGCGCTGTGAGCAGCAGGCAGAGGTCTGTCCCACCCCAAGCCTTAAGCGGGTGGTGGGAGAGCTGGAGGCAGGCTTGAGGCCCTTAACCTGAGAGCCCCTGTTTCTGCCTCCACAAGACAGATTGAAGGACAGTTTGTAGGTGCCATCGAGTGGCTGACGACTCAGCAAGCCTCCGTGCAGCGGAACAGAAGCAGGCCGGGCCCTGGACCAGCCTCCCGACAGTTGCTGTGCTGGGCTCCACCGTGGAAGCCACTGAGCCAGGGGCCATCCCTTGAAGGTCTCTTTTTCACTCAGTGCGGATTTCCAAGCTGCTGTGCTGGTTACAGTTTATTTTTTCCAGCCCTTGTCTGTCACTTTGTCATCCTGTGGTGGCAGATGCGTGGCTTTGATGCTGCAATCTGGGCCACAGGTATTTCTGGTTCCTGAAGCCCTTCCCCTCACGTGACTTTACCCCCCTCAGTGCAGGCCCTGTCCGCAGCCCCTCCGCTGCCTGACGGCCTACCTCTCTGCCTCGTCACCTGAGTGGGAGGCGGTGGCCAGGGAACTAACGGGTGGTACCGCTTCATCTCCGCACCCGAACGCACAGACGCGAAGGCCTCAGACGTGCTGCTGCCGCGGGGGAAGGGAAGGGAGGGTGCGCTGGGGACCTGCCATGTGGATCGCGCTCAGTGGGGGGTTGAATCCTTGCTCCAGGCGGCCCAACAGGCCTCCCAGAATGAGGCAAGCTGTTTGCAATTAGGGTCTTTGAAGCCCTGGCGTGGGCTGCCCACAGCCTGCAGGAGAGCAGCCAGGACCTCCCTTCTGCCCCAGGCCATATCCCTCCCTTGCACCACCCTTCCAGCCTGGCCCAGCAGTGACCTGGCTGCAGCAGTCCACTTCCCCGACTCCCCTGGGAGGAAAGACGGGCGGGCGACAAGCTACCCCACGAGGGCCGCACCTTCTGTGTTCATCTGCGCCCCTGCCCACTCCCCCACCCGTCCGTCAGTCAGCTGCAGAGACTCGGAATTTTCCTGGATACAGCCCCGCTGTACAGTTTCTCAGCCCTGCACTTCAGAAAACAGGCCCCATCAGGAAGAAGAGAGACCCAGGGGTCAGGGGCGGGGATGGGTCCAGCCTGGGGACAAGGAGATGGCAGGGAGGGGCAGGACGCCAGGGTCCCAGGCAGGAGAGGAGCACGTTTGCCTAAGACGCCGCCAAGGAACTGGGCTGGGCTCCAGACGCAGGTGGGAGGGGGTCTGGCCCTGGGGACCCTGGCCCGCCCAGAATGGATGACCAGGTCTGGCCAGGCCTTGCTGGGGGAAACGGGCAGGGGGTGCCCTGGACTGCATGGGAGAGCTGGCCCTGCAGGCTGCCCTCTCCACCCCAGGAACAGAGTACCACAAACATAGCAGCTTAAAACCACCAGTGTATGAAACCACAGCTCCGTAGCTTAGCAGTGCGGGTTCCCTGCTCACGTCTCCAGGCGAAAATCAAAATTGGGGCGGGCTGGGCTGGGCTCCTTGGAAGCATTTGGAGTGCTGTCAGAATTCACTTCCGGGCGAGTTCTGCAGGGCCAAGGGCTTCCCTGCTGGTGTCCACCAGGGACCCGTCTTCGGCCCTGGAGGCGCTCCCATTTCTTTGCCACAAGGCCCCCTCCTGTAAAGCCAGCCACAGTCTCCCTGGTGTTGAATCCCTCTCGTGCCTCAAGGCTTCCTGCTGTCCTCCGGAAAGTGGCACCAGCTGGTCTGCTCACCTCTGTGCCTGGCGCTGCCCCAGCCGGAGGGAGGAGGACAGTTCCCAGCAAGGAGGGGAGAGGGGATGTGAGCCCCTGGTCACGGGGGGTGGGGGGTGGGGGGGTGGGGGGGTGAGGGGTGGTGTGTGTGTGTGTGTGTGTGTGTGTGTGTGTCCCAGAACAGGGCTGGCAGGTTCTGAGTCCCCAGCCTCAAGGAGGAGAGGAAGTAGGATGGACAGAAGGATGGATAGGTGGCGTGGCTGCAGAAGACCCGGTAGACTTTTAAGGCCTCTCAGCCACAAGCCAAAGAGGCAGGTGAGGCGTGTGCAGGTTCCCAGAAGAGCCGGAAGCCGAGGGGCCCTAGCGGTGAGCGTTACCCAATCAGAGCCTGAGGCGAGCCAGAATCCAGGGGCTGTAAGTGGCCACATTGGTGTAGACGCCTGGCCGGTTGGGCAGGGCACAGCCCTTGCCCCAGCTCACCACGCCCACCAGGACCCAGCGCCCACTCTGCAAGCAGGTCAGGGGTCCCCCGGAGTCCCCCTGAAGGAAAAAGATTAGGGGCTGGGACACTGAGCCTGGAGGCAGAAACTCTCGGGTCCCGGATTCTAGGAGGGCAGGGTGCGGGCTGCAGGGCCGAGGCCGCCCAGGGACCCGCGCACCTGGCAGGCATCCTTGCGGCCCTGCACGTATCCGGCGCACAGGTTCCCGGGTTGTACGATGCGCTCCTCGCGTGGCACACTGGTGCCCACGTGGTAGAGGCGGTCACACGCGCGCGCGTCCAGCAATGGCACCCTGACTCCCTGCAGGGGTCGCCACTCCGGAAGTGGAACTGGGGAGAATTGGGGAAGCTAGAGGAACTACAGAGCGGGTGGCGTAGTGCCTAAGGCATTTATTTGGCTGCTAAGCAGAAGGTTGGCGGTTCAAACCCATGAGCCACTCCGCGGAAGGAAGACTGGGCAATCTAATTCCGTAAAGATTTAAAGAGGAGTCGTTATGAGGAATTGATGGCACTGAGTTTGCTTTGTTTTTTTCAGGAGGACCGAGGAAAGCACGGGTCGGGGAGTGTGGCAGAAGCCTGCGTGCCTCCCTGTCCCATTGGGAGTGGGACTGGGCTCCCGGCACTCACGCTGGGTCCAGGGGGGGTTGGGAGCTGGGATTCGGCAGAGGGAAGTGAGTGGCGCGGCACGTGGTAGGGCCTGCAGGCCCCTTCGGATGGATCTCCCTGCGCCCGCCCCGTCGAGCCTCACCTCCAGGCCGCAGGCTGCCCCAGCCGGTGACCCAGCACGCGGTGCCGAAAGGCGGGCGAGCGCCGGGCGCGGGCAGGCAGACGGGCTGGACTCGGGTGCCCAGGACCACGGGATGGCGCAGCTGCAGCAGCGCCAGGTCGCCGCGGGCCGCGTCCTCGGAGTAGTCCGGGGGCCGCAGCACGCGGCGCACGGGCGCCGAGAGCGCGCGGGGCTCGGTGGGGCCCAGGCTCAGTGCTCCCAGGCGCACGCGGTACTCGGACGGCAGCGCCCGCCTGCTGGGTAACAGTGACGGCGGCGACTGGTAGCACCCGGACCGCGTCGCCGCCACCCCACGCCTCCGCCAGGTGGCGTCCCCTCCCCTGCTTCACCGAGCCCGAGGGCGATGGGGCGCGCCCCCTGCCGACCTGGCGAAGCAGTGCGCCGCCGTCAGCACCCACTGCGGGGCGACCAGCGAGCCCCCGCACACGTGCGCCCCGCGGTGCTGGATGCTCGCCTGCCACGGCCACTCTCCGTCCCGGGCGTCCCGGCCCCCCACGATCCGGCTGGACACGCGGGGCTGCCCGCAGGCTGCAGGAGACAAGTGGGGCCGAGGGTGGGGGAGGACTGGGTCCCCGGGCGGGGAGGGAGGGCGGGGCAGCCAGGCGCCAGGCTTTCTTACCTGTGGTTTCCCGGGTCCTGGCAGCTCCTGGAGAAGGAAGCCAGTACACTGGATTATGGGGTTTGGTGTCAGGTATCGCGCGGGGCGGAGGGGGGTCAGAGATTAGGAATGAGGGTGGCTGCCACTGGTGCGGTGACTTCGTGGCAGGCTCTGTGCGACCGTCACCTGCTTTAACCCTCCCCAGACCCTATATGCTCACGACGCGCAGACAGGCACCCGGGGTCTAGAGAGCCCAGGATCAGTGGCAGAGAGGGGCAGGGTCTCCGTGGCCAGCCCTCCCAGTCCCCGTCCCCACTCACCCAGCAGCAGTAGGAGCAGGACCTGGTGGCCTGATACCCTACTCATTCTGTCTTTAGGGTGGAGCTGGGGAAGGGTGGCACCGTTCAGGGCTTGGACCCCAGCCTGGAACCAGCAGAGGTCAGAAGACGAAGGATGCTGGCCCCAGCAGCAGTGTCCAGAGCCCCTCTGTCTGCCCTCAGCTCCTGGTCCGGACCTCCTCCTGTGGCCCAGGCCCCCTGTGCAGGCCGCCGGCCACCACTCCGGCTAAATACGCAGCTTCGGCCTCATGACCCCCTCCCCGCCACCCCCATCCACTCCACTGTTTCCGCTGCTGCACAGCTGACCTTAGGCCCCAGGCAGCCACGGCCCCTGGCAGCCCCTGTGCCCGTTCTCACCTTCCCACCTGGTGCACTGCCGGCTGACTGGGTGAGGGGCGGGCCTGGGGGCTTAAAGGGCCGGGAGGGGGCGGAGGCCCAGCGGGGCCAGGGGTGTGGGCGTGCCTTCGGTTTCACCTGCCCAACCTGGAACAAAGATGCTTTCAGCCGGGCTTTTGGACCTGCAGGAAAGGGATGTCTGAGTTTTTCTTTTTTAATGTTTATTGTGATTTGGGTGAAAGTTAACCAAGCAAATTCATTTTCCATACAGCAGTTCGTACACATTTTATTTCATGACATTGACTGCAATTCCCTACAGAGTAGCAGCTCTCTTCCCACTTCCTCCCCATAGTTACCTCTTCCCTGAGTCCTTCCCTCCCATGCACTCCTGCCCCCCCCCCAGCTGTCTCCCTGTGCATACACTGCCCTTCTATTCTCCCACGAGTGATCTCTCCAAGGCCTGTGTCTACCTGATGTAAATGTTCAGCTCTTATGCCTGTCTATTGTTTGGCTGGAAGCCACAGGAGTGGGTTCAATTCCAGACCTGAAGGGGAACGAGGGACCATAGTCTCAGGGGTCTCCCTGGCTCCATCAGGCCAGCAAACCTGGTTTTTTTTTTTTTTTTTTCAATGATTTTGAGTTTTGTTCCAGATACCTGAGTTTTTCAGAGGAAGCCTGGCTAGGGCCACGGTGCTGGGATCTGGGGTGGGAGCCCAGGTCTGGGGCGGCAGGGTGGCGAGGTGGCTGTGGTCGGGCCCGGAAGCTCTGGGAAGGGTCCTTAGCAGCTCAGCTCCAAGCCAGAGCCGGGCTCCCTGCTTGCTGGGCCCCTGGACCTCGTGGGTGGTACGGTTCTGTGCAGAAAGTGCCAGCCTGAGGCTGCACACCACGATCCCGGGGCTGGGCAGCGCAAAGTGGAGAAGGGCCGTTTCCAAGCTGGTGGCACCCCTGTGCAACTGGAGGCAGGAGCAGACCTGAATTCGGGGGACAGTTCTACGCAAAGCCAGGCTGCTGGTGTAGGACGAGGCCGGAGGACCTGGGGACAGGGCAGGGACTGCCCTCCTCTCTTGGGGCCAAGACGGACTGGGTCCGGGTGATGCCCTGCGTGCTCAGTCCCTTCTCAGGTCACGCCAGTGTCCTGAGCTCCCTGTGGTCCCTGGATTCTGCGCGCACCGTGTCTGCTACCCAGAAGGCCCTCTGCCTCATCACCCCCCCCATCCTCCCTCAGCCCTCTGGGTCATCACCTTCCCTGTGGGGGCTTCAGAGCTCCCTGCCTGGGCTGGACCTCCTCTGTGGTTTGACGTGTGTTGGAGGTTGGGGCACATCTGTCCGCTTCTCCTGCACGAGAGAGGAAAGGACCTGTCCCCAGTGCTCAGAACAGAGCCCAGAGCAGAGCGGGGCCTGAGGGTGTGTTTGGGAGGGAGGGCGGGTGACCTGGTTTGGCAGCGGGGGGCAGCAGGCTGAGGGCCGGGCAGAGATCCAGCCCTCACGTGGATGCAGATGGAGGGGGCAGCCTCAGGCACCCTTGCCGTCCCCTCTGTCCACCTCTCCCCGGGCCATGGCCTCGGAGTCAGGCTGCAGCCCGGCAGGCTCCAGGGTCAGCAGGGAGGTGGGGAGGGGCTGCATATTCTGGGAGAGGAGAGGAGGGGTGCAGAGACAGCTTCTCATGGCCCCGCACCCTTCCCCCCCCCCCAGCCCATGGGTTCACACACTTGGCACTCCTGTGAAAATGTTTTAGTGCACTGGACGGACTACTAGGACCCTGCTGGCACCTCGCACACTCATGGTCATGGTCCTTTCCCCAAGGCTTCACCTGGACCTCCTCGGGTGAAGGGGCTGAGTCCGTGACCCCAGGGCAGCCTCCACCCCGGGGGTGTCAAGGGAGAAACAGATCCCCCACCCATCCTCCAGGGGGCACTGCTGAAATGCTCTGCACCGGGCTTCTCAGTGGGTGGTGCGCTGTGCGTCAAGTGCTACGTGGCGACCTTTGTGTACTCAGCTGCCATTTCTTCCTCCCCGGCCACATGTCCCCTTTCTTCACCTGTGCTTCCTGGGATCACCCCAATAAAGCATGCTCATCCCAGCCAGGCCCAGGGTTGCCTTTAGGGGAACCGTAGTCAGAGCAGGAGTTTGTGGCATCTGTGCGTGTGGGACCCCACCGAGTTAATCTCCCACAAATGATCCTTCTGATCAAACTGACCAGAGGGGTCTGCTCTCAGCATCCAAACCCTGAAAAGACTGGGCTGGGAGGGCCAGGCCTGGCGGGTGGACTGGAGGGAGCCACAAGGCATCAAGTTCAAGAAGGTCCTGTGTTTATTAGCCAAGAGGACAGAGCAACAGAGGGACGCCAGCTGAGCAGTGCTTTCTTCTTATTTACTGCTGCGATCTGTCCAAGCTCTTCTCCGGGAAGGTCCGGAGCCGTGCCCGCTCCGCGGCCCCCACGCTGGGGCTCCGTGGGCTCAGGCCGGCCACAGGAGCGGGGGCGCCCGCAGCAGAACCAGGAGGAGCAGAGGCGAGGAGGTGTCCGTCCTAGCCAGACTATGGTCCATCAGCTCCTGCATCCACCGGAAGTGCTCACTGACGTTGGTGTAGATGCCGGGCCGGTTTGGGCGGCCGCAGCCCACGCCCCAGCTCACGACTCCGACCTGGTACCACACGCTGCTCACTTCGCAGACCAGCGGGCCGCCCGAGTCACCCTGGGGAGCAGCGGGTATGAGCCCGGGTGGGGGCACCGTGGGGCGGTGCAGGACCAGGGGAGAGGCCCGAGGGCAGGGGGCTGAACCCCCTGGGACTGGTGTGGGGTGCAGTTCATGGGAGACCAGGGGCAGGTGGCCCACAGTGGGGCAGTAAGGGCTCAACTGGTTTCCAAAACGAACTCCGTCCAGGACGGGAGTGAAGCTGGGGGAGGAGGGTGGGGCCATTCTCAAAGCGGCATCTTTGCCACCCACTGGATTGCCAGCACGAACCGTGCCGCCCCAGATGGTATGCTGGAACCAGCGCCTCCTGGGGCTGCCGCGAGGATTAGCGAGGAACCATCATGGGGGGTGGGTAGGGGTAGGGGTGGAGAAGTGGGGTGGGCGGAACCCTCTTAGTCACTAAAGCCTTGAGACTGGAGGAATGCCCGAGACCATCGCCCCAAAATACTCTTTCAACCTTGAACTCGTCCCTGAGGTCGCCTTTTAGCTGAACAGTAGTAGTTGTTGTTGTCGTTATGTGCCGTTGAGTCGGCCCTGACTCATAGCGATCCCTCCTTGGGTTTCCCAGGCAGTATCACTACGGAAGTAGGATTGCCTAACCTTCCTTCCGAGGAGTGGCTGGTGGGTTTGAACCGCGAGCCTTCTGGTTAGCAGTCAAGTGCCTTAGGCACTATGCTACCAGAGCTCCTACAGTAGAGTGACTCACAAAGTCACATCCTGGTGAGCATGGGGCCCTTTTAAGAAACAACCTACGAGACCAAACTGCCAACAATGACTTTAGAACAAAGACGAGACTATAAAGGAGCCAGGAGACTAGATGAATGGAAACAGGACAACCAGAACGGCAGTAATGAGAAGGTGTGCCCACATGCAGGCTGTGACCATATCACTGGGCAATCTGATTGTGCAGAACCTGTGGAACAGGAACCTGAACTGCTGGGTAAGCCTTCACCAAAAACACAATAAATATGATTTTTTTCTGAAAAAGGGCTGCTGGTGAGTTTTATGAAAACCATGGGGCCGGCCAGCTGGGGGGGCGAGTGAGGGTGCCTCTTGGGCCGTGTGGGGGTGCTGGGTGGGGCACTCACGTTGCAGGCGTCTTTGCTCCCGTCCTCTGTGCCTGCACAGACCATGTCGCCCCAGATGAAGGAGCGGAAATCAGGCCGGCGATAGAGGTGGTTACACATGGTGTTGTTGATAATGGAGATCTGGGTTTCCTGGAGGTTGTAGGGGGGCTCCAGTGCTGTTGGGGGCCAGGGGACAGAGAAGTCAGCTGAGACTCTGAGTGCAGGGTGGGCGGTGGGACACCCCCAGGGCTGGGGCGGGGCTCTCGTCCCCAGCTCTCACGGGCACCCACACCTCAGGGGCACTCAGCAGTGCCACGGAGCGCCCGAGGGTGGACAGGCTGTGCCAGCTCTGCCCAAGACGTGGTCTCCTGATCTGTAAATGGCAGGATGGCCCCTGCCCGAGCCAGCAGGGGACCCCCGGCCACGGCGTGCACTGGAGGGGCCGCACGCTGGGGTGTGGCGGATGGCGAGGTCTGGCTGCAGGGTCCAGGCCCAGGCAGACAGAGTTGTACCCACTCACCCTTTGCAGTGCTCATACCTTGTGCAGGCCTATGTGAGCACTTACATGTTCCCTCTAACTCTAGGGGGAGGCAGATTTAGCAGGGAGTCCTCCCTAATTCCAGCTGTGTGACCTCGGGAACGTCTCTCTCCCTCTCGGAGCCAGTGACACCTCTCTATTTATTAGTCCTGGGCCCTCATAGCTCACTAAACATCAGTTTCACCGTCTAGAAAATGGGTATAAAAACATTCCCAACCCGACCTCACTCTAAAGTGAGTTCTGGGAGGAGCAGAGAGTTGGCTTTGATCACTCCTGGCGCCCAGAACGATAGGGCCTGGTGGGCAGGCGGCAGGCAGCAGCTCTAGCCGTGGTCATTCTAGGGAAGCTGGGATGGGTCACGGGAGCACGGGGCAGGGGTCACTGCAGGCAAAGGAGGGTGCCCATCAGAATGCAGGCCTCAGGGTCCTTGGGGCATTTGTGCTGAGAGATGACCAGGTGTCAGGTCCCTGCCAGCCTGGGGGCTGACGGAGCAATGGGCTCCAACTTCCAGGGAAGTCGAGGTGAACTAGGGCAGACACAGAGAGCAGGAGGGAGCCGCGGGACTCGGGGTGGGGGCACCCCGAATTTAACTGCAATGTATGCATGAAAAAACGAACACCTGTGGTCTCCCTGACAGGCCCCGAAATCCCCATCCCCGCTTTTACAGAGCGAGAAACAGGCTGGGGTGCGGCGCTGGGCTGAGCTGGCCACCCCTCCAAGGCATGCTGCTGCCCACATACTCTGTGGAGGGACACGAGACCAGCAGGTGAGGGGGGAAGCGGGGTGGGCCAGCGGGAGGCCCAGGGGCGCCTGAGCACCCCAGAGAGGCTGCGGGGGCTGGAGTGGCTGGACGAGTGGACGCGGACAGCACCCCAACCCCCACGCTCGTCCCCTCGCCTCACTTTTACGCTCTTGGATCTTCCCCCAGCCGGTCACCCAGCAGTCAGTCCTGTTCTGGAACCTCTCGGTGGAGTCCACGACACAGACGGGCTGGATGTACTTTCTGTAGGTGACGGAGGACGACAGCTTCAACAGGGCGATGTCAAAGGGTGAATACCCTTGAAACTTGGGGTTCAGCACGATCTTCTCCACCCGGTAACGGTTGTAGTAGGCCCGCAGGTTCAGGAAAGATGGCTGCGCAGTTCGCTCCCCAAACTGCACACTCCAGTCTGATGGATCCCTGGACCTGGCCGAGGAGGGCGTGGTCAGGGGCCTGCCACCGGGGACCTGCCTCTCCAGGGGACATGAGGGAAAACTCTGGGGTTGCCACGACTTGCTTGTCTGTGTCTGAGAGGCAGACCTTCTGGGAGTCCTTGGGTGGGCCAAAGGGTCCCCTGTGGAAATGGCAGGAGCCCAGAGAGGCCACACCCGCTTCAGAACCTGAGGTTCAGGGGCACTGAGCAGGAAGGTGGGCGCCTTCCCCAGCGTCTGCTGCGGCCAGTCACTCAGCCAGTCTCTGCCTCGGAGAGCCCTCTAACTCCAATACTCCCTGCCATCAAGTTGGTTCTGACTCACAGCAACCCCTCCTTGGGTTTCCAAGGCAGTATCTCTATGGAAGCAGATTGCCTGACCTTCCTTCCGAGGAGTGGCTGGTGGGTTTGAACCACCAGCCTTCTGGTCAGCAGACAAATGCCTTAGGCACTACACCACCAAAGGTCCCAAAGAGCTTGCTAGGACAGCTAAAGTGGGGGAGTGCTCCAGGGGACCCCAACGTGTCAAAGCCGCTTTCCTGAGGAGCCACCCCACCAGGCACCTGCTTCCCCACCTGCGTTCCAGGTGCCTGCGGTGGAATCACTGAGGATTACCCAGTAAGCAAGGTAGACACACTGCCTTATGGTGAAACTCACGTGAAACTTCACTGTAGACTAGGAAGGGGCATGGTGAGCTTCCGTTTACCTGGCTGACTTTGATTGTGTAGGAAGGTGCTGTGGGGTCAAGAGAGAGACAGATGCCGGCCCCACCTAGATGCAGAATCTCTGATGTGCTGAAATGGGAGATTGTTCGCTACAGATAAGGTAGCACAAGCAAGCCGGTGCTTACTGGCATATTGGGTAAGCCGACACTGGATGGAACGGATAAGGAAAAGGATAGTGGTGCCATCTGTTTACAGCTAAAACACCGCGCGCACAGATGTGCATGGATAGGTTCTGGAAGAACATTCTGGAAGAGACCCTATGGCTCCCTCTAGGGGCACCAGTGGGAACTCGGGTGTAACCGACTACAGCCAGGCCCGGGGCTCAAAGGACGCCAGGGCCGCGCCCCCGTGCAACCGCGGAGCGCGCGCCCGGGACCCGCCCGCAGACTCACTGTTGGAAGCAGTGCGCGGCTGTGAGCGCCCAGCGGTGGCTGAGCAGGCTGGCTCCGCACCGGTGGTTTCTCTGCCAGCGAAGGCTGCCCTGCCACGGCCAGAAGCCGCGCCCTGCGTCCTGGCCTCCCACCACGCGCGCCTCGATGTTCCGGAGTCCGCAGGGCGCTGGGACCGACAGACGGAAAGGCGGCTGAACTCGAGGGACGCGCAGAGCAAAGGCGCTCTTCCCGCGTCCTAGCGGGGAGGAGGACCACCCTCGCCCGCCCCTTAACTTGCAGGCCCGCCCCTGCCCCCCTGCCCTTTACCTACTCGTGAGCACGTTCCACGTCCCTGAACCTGGGGGGGGGGGGCAGGCGGAGAGAAGAAAGGTGAGGGGCCCTTACGTGGGCACTGATGCTCAGCCCAGGGGCCCTGCGCCACGAGGCGTGCGACCCGGGCGCTTACCTGCAGTCGGGGTCACTAGGTCGCCATCCGGCCCCTTTGGGGGAAGTTGAGAAGGTGTGGACCCCTGGGTCCCCACATCCGGCCCGAGCTGGCCCAGCCCCGCGAGCCCGGCCCGGGACCACAGCAGCCACAGCAGCAG